GCAAGTCCAAGGAACCGTAATAGGAACATAATCTGAAAAGCTGAAAAATAGTCTGGAAAAAGGGGACAACATCCTGAGAAAGAATGTATTGGTAATTTCCACTGGGTGTTTCAACTGCAAGAGCAGGACAAGTTCCAAAACAGAACTGAAATCATAATCTGTCAGGTGTCCCAGGTGAAAACCAGAAATTAACTGCATGCACTGGCTGCTCAAAGTGGGGGTGTCCTGTACCCTCTTATGTGTCTATGATAGAGGAATTATTTTCCATCCAAATCAGCTTCTCTTTCTCTTCCTGCACTGCACATCCTTGTCCCTTTCCTACACAGGTCTGCAACTTGGACCAGTGTTGGGGAAGCCTTGCTGACTCCAAACTCTGTGACATGGATTGTACCTGGAGGGAGATCCTGCCTGCTGTTCTACTGCTCCCTCACTCAGCCCAAGTCTGGGGCTGGCCCCCTTTATCCTCTCACCTCTGGGATGGTTGGGCCCCTTCTGAGATCTACAGCTTGGTGTCTAATCTACACATGTAATTAACTTATCCTAAGTGCATCTGCTGTTGTATTACTGCCAAGTTCCAGTAGTAACAACTTAGTTGTAACCTGTAATTGATATATATACACACACTTAATTGCTACTACTATTGGGTGCTGCAATATTTGATTGTTGCTATAAATTTATTGCTGCTGTATCACTGATTGTTGCTATACCAATGCTGCAGATACTACTCTGTAATAACTATATATGTATATACACATATATATATTTGCTTCATTTATTATAGGTCTACTTGCTAATGCTGAGTTGTGATATTTGTGGTAATCTGTAATAAAGTAAAGAAAACTAGAGGCTAAAGTGTCCATGCCCTGAGTATTACAAAAACCCATGAACCCATGGTCAAGGTCTTTAAACATCCACAGGCCAGTGACAGCACATCACAACTTAAGCTGTGACACCCCAGTGTGACCCCACATCGCAATTTGAGTCACTCAACCCCAGCTCTTACGCGCAGGATGCAAAACAGCCAGAAAAGAATAAGGAACAACACGCACAGAATTCTCTAATATCAAAATATAGCAATTTATTCAAGACACTGAATATGATCTGTTGATTCTCTCCTTAAAACAAATGAGCTACAATACACAAGGTGAATTTGAAGAAAGTGTGGGTGGGGGAGAAACAAAATAAGGGTTGATGTTGTTTCAACAGAACCTGGGAAATGCTTAAATGAGAACCAAGTCTGGCTGCAAGTCTGACACAGACAATAAAAACTGCAGAAGCCAGAATTCAGAATTTCAGTGAGTGGCTGAAAGAACATTTCTGCAATTGACAAAGAACCACATCTTTTAAAAAGGCAGTAATAGGAAAAAAAAAAGGAGGAAAAATTAAAAAGGGAAAAAGAAAAAGAAACCCAAAACAAAGCAGACCCTTACATTTGACAAAGTGCACTTCACTTGGCTCTAAAATTAGCTATTTTTTTCTTTTTTTTTTTTTTTTTTTAAACAAATTAAAAGGAAATTTCTAAGATGTAGCATGGGGTTAATGTGTGTATAACCCTGTAAGTCAGGCCCTTTATTGCCCCATAAGGGACCCAGTGTTTCCTACATAAAAGATTCAGTATCCTTCTAACCCACAGAATATAGTGGTTTTTCAGAAACTGGGGTTTTTTCACTCCCAGGCCAGTTCCAGACAGCCAGCAATAATAAAAATTCAGCAAGTCTCTGGATGGTTTCACAATCCTGTTTGGTCACTTAGGTTTTTCCATTTCTCTTCTGTTACAAAGAACTCTAAACAAAATTCTAGGAAGAAATCTAACTAAGTCCCCTGGGCTGTTGCTTTGTGCAGTTCTGTTGCAGGGGACTCAGGGAGAGGCTCTGCCAGCTGGGGAATGCTGGAGGGGAGGGAGAGCTCCCAGGAGCTCCCAGGAGGACAGTGCTGCAGCTCTGGGCTGAGACACCCACCTTGAACCACAGCCTGGAAAAGGCTCTCTCCCTCACTGCTCCTGTCCTGGAGAAACCATGTCCTTAGGTTAAGATTGACCTTTGCAACTACACCTCCTGCCTTCCATAACAGCTCTCATTTCAATTGAAAACTATCTACTACAGCATCTTTCCAGTCTTTAGGGTTTTGTGGATGGCAAGAAAAGTGAATTTTCTTAGCTCCTCACATACACTGCTTTTAACTCTGATTGTCCATATGGAAAACTTTCTGGAGCAGCAGCCTCTCTCACACATGAGTTTTGCAAACCAATTGATATTCAAATTTTGTTTCTCCTGGCTTCTTATCTCCATGTAGGCAAGCAAAGTGGTGATCTGACAAATTTTAAAAAGTGGAAAAAAAGGAACAGGCGTCATGGACATTGCCCTGTTATCTACAGTAGCTATCCTGGGAACAACTGTGAAACACGGGCTGTGGAGCCAGCCGGTCATGGAGCATTGAGCAAATTAATCTCTTCAAATCCTGAGGTCTGGCCTATTCAGGTGTCACTCAAGGGACAGAGGCAAGGCCAGAGTGCCATCAGTGTTGCCCTCCCACAGACCTGCAACTTCTGCTTGTCATTCTCAGAAATGCCACCAAAAAGCAGCGTAGGATTTTAACCGTTTACATGCAATGACTGCAAGCAAATCATTGTCAAAACAACACTTCCTAAAACCACATTACGCCTTTGTATTCAAGTTCAAGACTCTTTGAGCAAGTCCTCTTTAAAAAGAAAAAAGAAGCAGTGAATTTAAATTAGCAGGTACATGTGGTTATTAGAAGAGTGCAAAACTGCCACATGGTGATCTACAGCCATGCTCTTGGTGCAAAAAAACTAAAACGAGCACATAAAAGCATTTAACACCAAAAACAATCCTTGATACTGCCTGGCATCCAATTACTTGAGATAAATTACAAACAACCCTAACTATCACTAGTAACCATAATTCCACATAACTGTTTTCAACTCAGGACTAATACTTTTAGCAGTTACTTCTTTCCATTCTTTTCAGCAGTTGCTTCTTTCTGTTCTTTTCTCATTTCCAAAGGTGTATCTTTAAGAAATGCAGCTGAAGCTGGCAGTGTCTAGTTCCACTAGAAGGACTAAGATCCTCTAGAGATGCAAGCATACAGAGAAGAAAACTCCAGGGAAAAGATGGTGTTCAGATTCCACGACGATGCCCCGGAGCTCAGCAGGTCTCACACCACCAGTTTAGCCCGAGGGCTCTGGATCTGCTCAGATCAAATCACACCTCCAGCAGCTCTGGTCAAACCAAGGGGAAGATGCCGTTTTACAGAAACTTTGTGCTGCAAGGTTCTACATTTTGAAGAGGTTTGTGGCCTGTTTACTCTCTCCTACAGATCCTAGCCTCGGCTGTAGAGTTCTGAGGATCTGTCAAAGTCATGCCTGACACCACCCCAAGGCTGCCTTATTGTTTACAGCACTTTCAGTAAACTCTGCCTATGTGTCCTTTGCATTTGTCATTTCCTCAATTAGAGCAGTGGAGCCTCCAGCTGGCATCTGTGCTGGTGTCACAGCTGCAGTAAGGAAATCTTGTCCAAAGTGGATAGGTGGTGCTTTGGAACTCTCCATTGTTTTCTGATCATTTCATCCCAACAACTTTTCAGTGGTTTACACATTGAGATGGAACTTACATATGATGTCATAACCTAATGAATTCATTGCTTCTGAGCACCACACTGAGGACACCCTTGAGGCCAAACCTCAAGGGCAGACAGTGAGTCTCCAAGTGCAGACGCAGAGCTTTCCCTGCAGGATGCAGCACACCTGTGGTGACACCAGCACCACCCACTGCAATGGCAGAGCCTTCTTCTTGCTGTCTGTGCTCCATGGATGGACAGGAGCTTGGTGGGAGTCCGTTCTTCAACAGTGACAGATGCAGTCAATATATTTCAGCTCACCTGGTCTCATTAGGTCAGTGGTAAAACCCCACTGACTGACTGGAATAATGAATATGGAAGACAGCACTGCTCAGCAAGGCCACAGGCAGCCAAATCCATATTCTGTCAAAATCTGAACTATCTCTAGAGGAAAGAAGATACACAAGCATTTTCTCCTGGTTACTGAAAACAAACAAAAATACAGACCAGAGAAAATGCATGTTATATTTATAGTCTCAGGCTTCTGAATCTCTTTGAATAAGTTTACATCATCAAACAGCCATAAAAAATGGAATGAGACTATGTAAATGGCTGGCTGCTGGAAAAGGACTTTAGTAAAGGACTGGTATTTCTTGTATCGAACACCATTTTTTCTTACAGCACTTTCTGAGAGAGGAGAGAAAAAGGATACTGCGCCTTTCATGTTCCCTGGACTCTGTGTCATTCTTGTTTGCTTGAATTACACAACTGGTCTACATTTTGTGGCCATTTTAGGCTTTTAAAACTGTTTAACATAAAAAATATTTTTTTTCCAAAAATACACTGGGTTCTTTCTGTTAAAAGTCATCTTTCTCCTGTAAAAATCTTCCCCAGCACTGCATTCTTATATAAAGCACTTATTACACAATTTGCTGAAAGTGCCCTTGAGACGCTAAGATCTGAAGCATGGAGGATTTTTTTTTCTTTTAAATGAAGAGAAAGAAAGGAAAAGGAAGTTATAGAAGAGAGGAGAAGCAGTCTGTCAAAAATTTTCATTGTCATGTCCACCTGGCTGCATCTACTATGGGCATACAGGAAAAAAAAAAAAAAAAAGGGAGCAAAAAGAAAGAGGAGAAAAAAAAGGAAGGAAAAGTTGGGAGTGGAAGGGAGAAATAAAAGGAAAACAAAAGTATCATCCTAAGCCTGGGATCCTCCAGGCTGTAATATTCCAGCTGATAGAAAAACCACTGAACAAAAAAAGTAGTCTAGAAAATAGAAAGTGTTGTGATTACAAAGTTGAGCATATCATCAGTACAAACTGGTCTTTGAACGTCCTTTGGGAGAGCAACTGTAGTGTCCAAATTGGAAGGAAAAAATACAACACCGCATTGAGGAGGATTTTTTTCCCTTTTGGTTTATCACAGTTTGGCACAGCTTTTTTTTTTTTTTTTCCCCCAGCCATCAGAGCAAGTTCTCAGATGCAAACCAAACAGTGCAATGCCTAGCTGGTGGCTTCATGCTTCCAAGGCTGAATGTTCCAGGTGGAAACCATTCCCTCCCCCTCTGAAGTGACTGCGTTTTTACTCCTTGATGAAGGTTACGGACAAAATACAAGTCACCTGTGGCCAGGGAGAGTCGGTTTCACGGTACACTCTAACTTTGTTCAAGTTTGTACAGTTCTGGAGCTGTTAAGAATAGTTTTGAAGAGTGCTTCTCCCCACACATTCACTGCTGGTCCATTTGAAATTTCCTCTAAAACATTTCACTTTTACTTCCGCAGATCTAGAACACAAACCTGCGGAGAGAAGAGCCTGTGTTAAGAACCACTTGTGAAGTTGATGTGGAAATCCCATTCATGCACCCTGCACACAGGTGGACCAGCCAGCTGGATGTTACACTCCCCAGCTTCAAATCAGCACACAAGTAAAGGGACAAACTGACATGGCAGAAAGCCCAAGTGAAACCCACACATTTAACACTTAGCTGGGCTTTATTGGTTTACAAACAAATATTTTGGTGGCACATCTCGTAAGACTTTGGGATCTATTCAGTTCCCAAATATCATGTCCACTTCCACTTCTGAAATATATCCAAAACAGATGCAGGCTTGGCAAGCATGACAGTGGACATGTGCCCATTTGGATCAGCTGTTGGGAGCCAGGCACAGCACTGTCTGAGATGTCACAACTAAGCTCAAACAACTGAATCATGTCATAGGTGTTCTCTTTGTTAAAAACAGTTTAAAAATACTTTCCAAAGTAGTTATGCCTGCCAGCCAGGTGTGTCCTGCACAAGCTGGTCATGCTACAATTGAATTTTTTTAGAAGTAACATTAACAGCAAAAAATAGTAAAGATAATCAGTATCCATGGCAATATTTCTCCTCTACCACATGACAAAATCTTTGGGTATCATGCTGAAAATTTCCTCCTTTAGTTATTCCTGTTCAAAGGAATAGGAATATTCTACTGTGGAATCAAACTCTGAAAGCCCCAGGGTAACTGTTTGTCACAGAGTTGATTGCTGTGATCTGCTCTTCATTAAAGCTGACAGATAATGATAGAAACAACATAACTGTTGTTCTTGTCAAATATGTACTTAGAAGTCATTCTCATCTTCAGCAGTATTCAACTATTCCACAAGCATTCTTCATTACTGATAGGAACACCACCTCCTAGTATTCAAAACCTTTCAAAGCACAAGCATTTTTAATACACTACACAGAGCTACTTATTTGTGTCTTGAGCTGCCTCTGTCTTCGGTTCTGTCCCCAGGAGGCAAATATAACATCCTGTTTTTTGCTGATGCTCCCAGAAAAGAAATCTCCACCAAACCTTTGCACTGTTTGATGATCCTTACCGATCCGTCTGATGCGCTTGCTCCCACTTTGTCTCCTCTAGCATTCCAGCAGACTTCAAAGATGCCCCCGGTGCCTCTGTAGCTATGTACTAGAGTTCCACTCTACAAAGCAAAACAGCATGCAGACATTGGATACAGAAGTTCCCCTTCTTTTTCTCTGTCATGTGGCTCTACGTTAAAAGGGGGAGCTATTCAGATCACCCAGCTATGGCCACCTCCATATTGTGATGGAAACTTGTTAGGAAACAATCAGGAAACTGGTCCTTGCAATGAAGAGCAACAGGCTCCTCCAGAAATAGTAGGACTCAAGACATCTGTTTTTGTCAACTCTGTAACAGTAAAGGCCTGGGGAGTTAGGTTGATGTGTTCTCTAAAGTTTGCTGCTAATTCAGGTTGTGAGATACCAGTATCCAGAATTACATCTGTGGAACTATGATGTCCCACTTTTCTCCAGAACATCACCAGTCCCCTGCCTGTACATCTTTGTATCTATATCTCCTTTTCACAACATCTAAGCAAGGAGCATCAGATTCACAGCTGAACTCAGTTTGTAACTAAATAAAAAGTATTCCTTAATTCTAATCTACACCTTTGCTTCACAAAGCTGATGACCCAAAGCAACGTACCTATTTTCATGCATGCTACTTGTTTCAGCATACAAAGCAGACCGAGCAGAACTGTTCTGGGCAGTCACCTCACTGCACCTGAGTGACTCAGCTGCCATGGATTTGTGCCAGCCAATACAAGCAGGCTTACCCTGGCAGGCAGGTCATGCATGACCTAGGTACACACGTTTCCATTTAAACCTTTGCTATTAAGGTGTCATCTAAACCAGATGTGCTTCACATGAGGCAAAACAGTACCTGAGTATTCCATATATGGACACATTTGTCAAAGGACCCACTGGCTAGATATTTTCCATCAGGACTAAAAGCTACACTGTAGACAGGCTCTTGATGCTTTGTTAACGTATGGATGCAGACTCCTCGGTCAACGTCCCACAGCCGAACCGTGGAATCAAACGAAGCACTGCAAGAAGCATTCAAACACGACAGTGTCATAATCTGGGTGTTAATCAATTTGTACTGTCATACTGTAAATGTTATAAGAGGATACCACAGATTTTTTTTTTCCCCTTGGCTAAGCAAGACATAATGTTTCAAACAGAAAAGCTAAAATGTACCACCTATATGTTTTTTATCTTAAGATAAAAACATATAGGTGGTACTACAGCTATAGAACTGAATTCTTGTATGAGGACCCTTAGGGCCTATGTAGGTGTGCTCTATGTAGCCGTAAGAAGGCCAAGCTCCCAACTTTTGAGATTCTACCTCCTGTTATTCAGGAAGGTCAAATATATTTGTCATTAATAGGATAAATGGGTTCAGAGAGATCTTACTCCTAAAGGATTCACCCTGTTTAAAGAATTAGCATTTTATAATTCTCTAGAACTCTTTTCACTTTGTTTCGGTGATATTTTTGCTACATTCCATTTAAATCCCAAACTGTAGGCTTGGAAAAAGGCAAAGGAAAATATTTGCATTAAAAATAATATTAAAAGACTAACTCCAGGAAAGTGAGGTTCTTCCATGTCCACTCCCAGACTAAGGAGGTTTGACACAGCTTCTGCACACGCCATGAGCTGATCTGACAAACCCACCGTACTACCATCAATTGGCACTCTCCAAGTAAATGTATCTCCTAAGCTCAAAGAAGAATTTTGCACAGATTTTCAAGTGGAACTTCAAAGATTATCCAAGCTTTTCTCTGTCAGCTAAGGCTGCAAACATTTTCTCTAACTGTCCAGTTGAGTTGCATGACTCCAGTTAGAAACCATTCCAGCTGCCTGAATCTTGAGAGCACCTGCCTCAACATTTTTACTCCTAGCAACGCCATGCTGGATATGAAAGTGCAATGCCCAATTTACAACCATTTTATCAAGGCAGCTGGAGAGTTAAATACCACATGACTCAATTTTCTTTCTTTGTTCCCCTTCTTCTTTCAAATATGAACCCCTTCCCTTTGTATCCATCCTCCTGACTTACATACACAGATACTTTTTAGTGGAATTGTCTGCAGGAAGACTGATGGCAAAGTGACAGTATGGTTATATGTCAGAAAGATGATTCTTCTTCTTGGCAGGCAAGAAAAAGAGGTTTATTTTTTACCTTGCTAACATGATGTTGGAGTTTGGGTTGCTGGTGCCTGGTCCTGTAGGGCTCCATTTGATAGTGTAAATCTCTTTGCTGTGAGCCTGAAGGTCATGTACACAGGTATCTTGCTTCATACTCCATATCTAATCAGAGAAATAATGAAGGAGGAAAATGGCAACATTATTAATCTCTTCTCAGCTGAATTATTTCAGTTCTAGGTTATTCTTACCATTTGCTTATTTGAGATCTCGACTCACCTGAAAACACATAAATATAATTTATGAATTCAGCAATTTGGCACATACATTAAAATAACTCCAGTAGGGAGAAGAGTTAGACATTTAATAGTACTTATTCAATAGTTAAGAACTAAAGAATTGCTGTACTTCAAAAAGTCTGTAACTATTTTCACACAGAAGTTTATCTATTTGAAGAAGTTTAGCCAGAATTTTATTTACACATTGCAACAGCAGTCATTTTAAAGAATGAGAAGAAAATTGCAGCAACTGCTTAGAACACAGCAATTTTCTCTTATGCTAGTAAAATTTTCCTTTTTCTCCTTTCCTTTTCCTCCTGAACTCCATTTGCCTCCCTCCTGTTTTTAACAGTACAGAAGATGGAAGACAGTCAGCCATTTCTGTAGTGTTACATGGTCAAATACTTCAGTGTGAGATGAAGAATATGCTCAATAGAGATGACAGGTAATTTAGTACCTCTTTTTGTCAGCTAACTGAGAAAGTAAGATGAAGGAATTCCCAGCAGAGAAAATAACCCAAATTTAGTCAGTCAGTTTCAGAGAGACGCTGAAAATGTAGTAATGATTTAACTCAGCTGTTGTAAGTCTGACCAAGAGAATGATGTGCTCTCATGCTGAATTCCCATCAGTGTACCTGAGACTGCTTTTGGAAATGCTACACAAAGCTCAGCCATGTTCTATGGCTGACAGGCAGCACGTTCCAAGAAGTTATAGGAAAAGCTTGTGAATTCCAAAAATAAGAAAAAAGTTGGAGAGGACTGATTTACAAAGGAAGAATAATTGCCTTAATTTGGAGCATTTGCCATTTCTGTCATTGAAGGTTTTTATAAACAGGTGAGGCCAGGTTTAGCAAACCACCAGCTCTTGTGCCAAATTCAATGGTCAGGAACTTGAACTGGTAACAACAACACTGAACCATGGTGGTTTTTAAAACACAGCATTCAACTGGGCACCAAAAAGATGTGCCACCATTGGGTCAGGATGTTTAAGCAGAGCAAGAACAGTTATGCAATACTGCTTTGTGGCAGCGTGTCAGGAAAACTGCTCCCTTTTGCCCTTGTTTTTTGCAAATTTCCAGCTCTGTCACTAGCCTGCAATAACACATTTGGAATCCAGAATGATGAAAACCTCAGTGGGTATGTGGCAAACACAGAGCAGAAGTCAGTCTACCTATGAACAAGAAATACTCATAATGCTGACATTCTCTTAGCTCCCATCTGCAAATTCTGCTGCTGTCTCAGTTTCATGCTAGAAACTTCCCAAGCTTCAGCTGTGTCAATCAGCAGTGCAAAGAGATCTGAGTCTTAATTAACACAACCATACTGCAAGGAAACTATTACTGGTACAATTCTAGCCACAAAACCAAATCCTTCGTGGGATATTTGCTTTCTTCAAGGAACCAGCATAAATCAACAGTCCAGCAGGAGGGCTTTGCTATAACATCATACAGCTACTCCTACATAGACAGCCTTCATTTGATGTGGCTGGAAAAGAAAAATGAGAAAGGGTTTTGGGCTGCTCAAACTCTATATTATCTATACTTAAACTATGACTTCTTTTGTGACAATAGCAGATCAGTCATGTAACACTTATTTGGATAGGATGCCTTAATTTCCCCAGTGTTAGCTTCTCTTTCTTCAATTTTTCATATTTGCTTCAAGAAATATGGGACAAAATGGAACTCTGTTCATGCAGAGTTTGAAGTGATACACTACCATCATTCTGAAGGAGACTGAAAAAGAGACATAGTTTTTTGTCCTCACTTCTTGAGAAACAGGAATGGAAATTGTTTTACCTTTAATGTCATGTCATCGGAACAAGATGCCAGCAGCATGCCAGATGGGTCCCATTTGATTGCATTCACCTCGTTCTGAAATCAAGAATGATATTATTAAGCAAATATTCCAGTTACTGCATCGTGCTGGGCACTCAGCAGAGGGCACTCAAGGTTTATGCATGGAACAAGTTCACCCACAAATTACAGTGCTGGTGCTTTTAAGGGTGAACGAAAGCACTGCTGCCTCCCCAACATGCTATTTAAGTGGCATTTTGGAGTGGAACCATCCTGTGCTCGTAAACAATACACACAAACAATCTTAAGATGTGTGTTCTGGCTCAAAGTTGCTCTTATCCTTTTGTCATTTCCTAGGATTTAAATAAACCCAGACAGATTGATGATACAGCATTACCTTTTTAAAACTGAGGCACTTCTTTCATTAATGGTCTGTAGACCAAATTTTCAACAGAAAATAATGATACTGGTAGGGTGTTTTGTTTTGTGTTTTGTGGACTTGATAATTCTTCATATTGTAGCTCTACAACAATGCTGGTCTCTCTAAAGAGAGGTTTATGTGTAAATGAATTCCATGCTGGAATGTGAAACAGTTTAGGATGCTTTTTCTATCAGTCTTTCTAGCACTTTGTAATTAATTAAGCCGAGTGTATCCCCTTGGTAATGAATAAGTTTACCCTGCTCTTCCACAGCTATAGGTAAAGAGAAGAAAAGTGTTTTATAAAAAGGGAAAGACTGTTTCCTTAAAAATATAAATTGGCCCAGGGTCTCAGTGAAAACAATCCTGGAATATATTTAAATTTTTCTTTATACATTTTACAAGTTTCAGTAATAATTAAAAACAAGTATAGATATATTTGAAGTGAAAGTTTGGATCATGTACAAAACAGTGCAGTTCATATAATCATAAAAAGCACCAGTCTATTTTAGGAATGTACAACCTGTCACAAAATATCAGTTTAACCACAGACTAAGATAAAGGTCTTCAAATGCATAGTTCTGGAAGCTAACATCTGAATTATGGGTCAGTAAATGATCACAGTTTTTCTCACAAATGAAACCTAGAAAAAGTAACCTTTGACAGTCATTAAATTCCACCAAGAAAAGAGTGGGGAAATACATCTTTAATATCTCTTATTAGATTAAATTGATTCCAAAACTGAACAATGGCTGGAAGTAAACTGTTCTCTCCTTATTCATTTAGTAAAGGAAATTAAGCCAGTGGAAAACAGAATCTTAGTTATGAATGTGCCTTTACTCTGCAGCTCATGCTACCCAGAAACACTCTCACTGCTTAAGCCAGAGGTGTTGTCTCCTGCGCTGATACAGAACATTTTATCCCTTCTCACAGGCAGTGAATCCCTCACTCCCAAGGAATATACTTTTAGGGAAACAATGGAGTGTAACACCTTTGCTGCTAGAACATACTCTGCAAACCCATCATCTGCTATTAGATAACATGTTGCTGTGACTTCACCACTAACATTTTGGACTTCTTAAACTTACTGTGTGTCCTTGAAAGGTTTTAACGGGACGATCACAGCCAAGTCTGCATACATGGATACACATGTCAGTACTGCAGGAGGCAAAAGTAGTGTTGTTCTGCCAGTCCACATCCAGAGCAGGAGCTGGAATACAAAAAACAGAAGGAATATCAGGGATCATGACAAAGAAACAGCTATCCCAAATAATTTTCCTCCCATCACCTATCTGGATGAAACAGACTGCAGACTAGTTCTTGGTCTGTCACCTGCTGCCAGTTACAGGGTTGATAGGGACTGTCTGAAGGGCACAAAGTATTTTTGCTATTCCAGTGGATAATCTGGATGCTTTGCACGGCATCTACTTATAAGAATCTTTTGGGTCAAGTTACATAAGAGGGGGCAAAAAACAACCTCCACCCTCTCTGCTCCCAGCTATGCATATCATGGGTTATGTCTAGCATTCATCCCTCTGTAACCCAGTTCAGTGAAGAAACTGAAAGAAAACTAACCCAGAAAAAATGTGGGTAATTCCATCTGGGTTAGACAAGCATGTTCTTGTGAATGCCAGACAACACATGGGAAGGTGGAGGAGCAGGTGGCTGTGTCCCTTTGCACTAAAGCTTTATGCACCCTTTGATACAAACCTATCACTCTGTGCAGGCACATGGATTAATAAGACTAAAATTCAGTTTAATTTGCTTGGGGACTGGTTTTAGATAGGTACATTGATCAGTCTCATCTGAAATGAGAGGAAGAGTCTCTGTAGAGAGTTTGGCATTAACTAGCACTGAACTAACAAAACTGTGCACAGAGAGCATGTGAGCATGTAAATAGTGCCTGTGTGCAGCACACACACACACACTTTGCAAAAAGAATGGGAAAAAAATCCCCAAACAACTCTTCCAGCATGTCACTGCAGAGTGCAAGCAGGAGCAGGAGGAAGCTCCTGACAAACAGCTTGCTTGTGTTTTCTATAATTGCTGCTCAGGCTTTTTCCCTCAGGATAGACTTTAGCTGCCCTCCAGAGGATGACATAAGACTTGCTAAAATATAGAAATCTTCATTCTCAGCATACTCTTGTGAGAAGCAAGTGTGCTAGAATGAGACCAGCATACAGGAAACCAAGGTGAATCTCTTCCTGGCAAAGATATAATGCAAATTTATCATTAAAATGAAACCAAGAAATTCCTTACTCAAAAGTGTTTAGAAAGATACTTTGGTAATACAGAGGTGAAAAGACATCTGTTCTGACAAGCCTATTACATTTAAATATATTTTTCCTATTATAATTTTTATGAACTGCAAAACAAAATAGATCCATATCACCATCTGAACCATCAGGAAGCTGCCTAAATGAGAATGAAGGGCTGACACTCTTTCATGGATAAGGTTTTTTTTCAGTATTAATGCAAAAGCTTAATAATTCTGTATGACACGTAAGGAACTATGACCTTGCAGAAATATAAAGTAAATTCGTATGAGGCAGGCAGACTACTTTTGAGTTTTCCAACAAACATGAATGAGGATCAGGAAACAATAAAAGAGCTTTCTTTAAATGCCTGTTTGTCTTTCTTTTCATGCTACAAGGTTTGTATTACTATTTCAAAACAAACAAAAACTTATCATCATTAATAACAATATGCCTTCAGGGCCTATATCTAGTCTGATATGTACAAGTCAAAAACTAATTTTCAGAGAGCTATTGGCACCTAAAGCTATGGATTTACAATGCAGCATAATTAGAATCATAAAATGCTGATAGTTAATACTGATTTATTTATTGGTGTACTCAGTCGTATGTTTACTGAATATGTAACTGCATAAAAACGTTTGAAAAAAATCAAACAAACATGGTTCCTGAAAGGAAATAATCAAACTGCCAAAGTATTTCCAAAATGACAGGATACCAGCCAATTGCATAACAACAATTAGAATATCATAATATATCATAATAAAAGCAGCAACAAATCCTCAAAAATGCAGCTAAAATAAAAACCAAAAATGAAAGTGTTACAATAATTATCTGGTAATTTAGGCTTTTTCAGAACAAATTTAAGTGTGATTCAGAGCGCTTAGATCACAGAACCATAGAATAGGTTAGGTTGCAAGGGACCCTAAAGAACACCTAGTTCCAGCCCCCCTGCTGTGGACAGGGACACTTTTTACTAGACCAGATCACTCAGAGCTCCATCCAACCTGGGCTTCTCTGGGCAGCCTGATCCAGTGCCCCACCACCCTCACAGTGCAGAATTTCTTCCTGATAGCTAATCTAAACCTTCTGTCTTTCAGTTTGAATCCATTCACCCTTGTCCTGTCACTACACAACTAGATGGTTAAAACTGGGCCACACAAGTACCTCTTTTGGTGTCAATTTAACAACTTGTTCCTGCAAGCATAGACAGACATCAGTCTGTATCTATCAGTAAATGTCAAAATTGGATTATTTAGCTCCTTTTTAAAGAAATAAGTTTTATGAATATGTATTTTGATCAAATGCCCTATGATGATTCATAGTTTTGCAAAAAATAATGAAGCCCTAGAAGCTACTTATCTGCATAGTTGCATATTTTGAACAAAAAACCTTAAAAATTACATGGGAACACCAATGACATGAAGGCCTTCAACACCCAGACAAAGGACTTTTCCTTACGTATTTTACGATAACAGTTTTGTCCGTGCGGTGTAAACTAAACCAGTTGTTATAAAGAAGCAGACAGTAAAAAAACCTTATGTTTTTTCCAGGCGAGCTACCTCCAGACTTCAAAGAAGTATGTGTTAAAGGATCTGTATCCTGCCTAGACTAGACTTTTAATTGCTAAAATGCCACCTTTAATCCTAGTGTCGACGAGGTTTTCAGATTCCAGATATGGAAAGGAATTTGCTGTTACTTTGTCCTGGTGACGCAAAGAGGACAAGGTGAGGTCTTTGTGGGTTTAGACTTGTGAGAACAAAGTGAGTACAGAGTCTGGCTGATTTTAAGAAGGTTTTGTAGGATATATGCTTTCTCCAATCAAAAATTTCCTCAACAGCATTTCCTTAATAACTGCTTTACTTCCCTATGAAAACATATATAAAAGAGTGAAAAAAAAATTAAAAATATTAGCTTCTCCACATATACACTTCAGTTGTGTCTCATGTTCCAAAGATAAACAGCATGTGCAGTAAGAATTTTAAAAAAAATCTTTTCATGCACATGGACATATTGTATTGGTAGATATAGCTGAGTTTTCAACTTGCTAAGAAGGGGAAGAGGTGATTTCTCCTTGATGCACATCACTGCTAAGACAGCTTATGTGTCAGTGAACATGATTTTCAAGGGCCAACCAAGTTCTGAATCCACAACTATTTACGTTACTAGTTAGGGATCAGAGGATTAAGAGTCTCATTAACTAAATCACTTTATGCGCACAGTTTGCTGTTATGGAACAGTTATGGTAGATAAATAAATGCCACAGTGAGAAAATCTGTCAGCAGACACCAACTCTTCTAAACCAACAGCTGCACTAATAAATGAGGAGACGAGTGACAAAAATGCAGAGTATGGATTTGCTGTGCCCATGGACATACTTTTTGTCTACTGCTGAATAACCATTTAGATTGCTACTGCATATTATTCACATCAGTGTATGTGTGAGAATAAGAACAGTTTGAGTTGAAAAGCATGTGAAAAATAATGTTTTAAAATTAGTACTGAAATATGTTTTTAAACACCATTGTGAAAGCTTGTTGTATTTAAAAATGGATTAGTTAGAGTGAACTAGGAAGATGAAAACCTCTAGCATCAGAATCCAGAATGCTTTCATGATTTTAAACTCAGTTTTACTATACCCCTTAAAATTCTTCACTATGAAAATGTAGCCACTTCAGATCATGAATTCAGCCATCATCTTACAAGACTGGTTCTCAGGTGAATTTCAGATTATGTCAATGACTGTCTGTTATTCAAGATTGTTTAGTATCTGTGACATCTCCTGTCTTCTTAAAACAGTTCTACAAGTAACCATCCTAATAGCATTTTGGTGCAGCAAGGTTTTGAAACTCAAGACTGGCAACTCATTTCCAACAATAAAAGAAAGCAAATATTAAAGAAATTGAAGTTAAAATTAAAAGCTAAGAAATTCTGAGGACCTTTGTGAGTGCAGTGGTGAATGCAAGGTGCATGAGAAATCTGCCTGCTTCTGCCTCAAATCAGCTTCATTGAAACAGGAGCAGAGAGAACTGAAAAGATCCCAGACCCTCCACTGAAAGTTCTCTTCAGGAATCACCACCTGGTACTATTCAAGCACATAGACAACAACAGGACTGCTCAGTTAGGTAGACACGGCTGGTGTACAAACTCTCTCCTAAAATCAGCTTTCAAAGCTGATTCTCACAGAACTGGGTGTTTCTGAAATGAGAATAAACCCACAAGCCATGATATTCAGGATGGTTAAAGCACAAAAAAACTTGATTGAAACTTTTCTCTGGCAGATAAAGTACACTGACAGAATTAAAAACTGCATTTCATTTTCCTAACAAGAGTTATGCAAAAAGTACCTGAATGGAAAGGAAATTGCTGTTTAGCTTCTCCTGTGTGAGCATCCCAAATTATTGTTGTCTGCATCCAAAGAAAGGGTGGAAAAAAAAGATTAGTGACTGTTCAGCTCAGAGAAAAAACCCAAAATAGCACCCTCACTAAGTAGCAATTCTAAATGATGAACTGATAAAATTATTGACTACAGAGACCCTTGTGTGCTAAACAGTGTGAAAACCAGAAATTACTTCTAGGTATCACAGAATATTAATCTAAATGTAGATAAGGAAGTATCATGCCTATAGAAGAAGCAATATAACTATGAAGAATGGGCATACTCTCTCTGAATAACACTAGAGGACAACACCATACATTTTTAATAAGCATATTGAAAAAACATTTCAGTTATGATCTTTAAAGAACACTTTCCCTTTTCAAAAGATGCAAGTTGAATTCTACTTCAAAACTATACTGAACCCCATTTGTAACAAACCAGTAAGTGAAATGTTTTTCTATCAGCAGAGTACACAACACTTCTTGCCTCTGAGGTGGGACAGACTCTGGTGTAATTGGCTTACTACAGGTTTAATCCATCCTCACAGCACACGTGAGTGTGTCCCCTGGACAGCTCAATACCACCTGAGGGAATTGTCAATTTACTGGGAGTATATACTTCCAGAAAATAAATTAAGGATGCATCATCTTGCTGATAATGGATCATCTAAAGAAATGCTGCTTTTATTGAGAATGTAAGTTCACTGGAGTAATGGAATTACAATTGGGAGATCAGTGTAGCTGAATATAAGCCAGTATTAAAGCTTCCATTTTCACAAGGATATAAAAATACAGGGATTCACTGAGCTTACAAACGTACAAATCTCAGCTGGACTCCCCTCAGCTGGAGAGAAGCACTGTCAGTGCATCTCACTGGAACACAGACCATGCAGCCTATCCCTTGGAAGTGTCAGTTTTCTCTCTGAATTTTATAAAGGAAGCCAAGGATGACACATGCATCTAATTATCAGACACTGAAAGTCAGGCAAGATGAATGCTGTGTACTTTCCAGTTTCAGTTTTAATGGATCATCAGTCAGCTGTTCATTTCAATCTCTAATGTGCACTTAGCTGTAACTACTATGTTTTGCTTGATTTTCAGTTTAGAACCATATTTTTTTTGCATATTTCCAGAGGAAGCCATATATATTTTAGTCAAATAAAAGTGTTTTAACAGTTAGATGAGCTAAAAGGTGTTGTATCTTTAAGACCACTTTCTTCCCACAAATAGCTGATAAAACTACAAATATAAGTACTGGAAGCTATTCCTTCCTTAACAGAGACACACTCAAGATGTAATTTTACACAATTTTTTTTAAAGTTAAGTATTTTCCATGAAAACAGTATACATTTATGCAGCCTCAAAAATATAATCAACATGCACTAAAATAAATTTAAAAAATTCAAACTCTCCAGGGTGCCTGGAGAAGAAGAAAATAATCTTAAGGAATTTAGCAGCACAAGCTCACTCATCAGCATACTTATATGTTAGAATAATGTATTTTTAAAACTCACTTTATCAACACCAGCACTTAAAATATAATTCCCCTTTTTGTTCCATTTCAGGGCAAATATTGGACCTTTATGTTGACCTAAGGTGCTTGCAAGGTTACCTGGAATAAAGAACAGATTATTATTACAATTTCTTTACAAATTGGTCAAATTACAGCTCACTGCTGTTTGATGCTTAAGAACAAGAAATGTTTGACTTACCATCTTCTGTCCATATTCTTGCAAAACCATCATATGAGCCTGTAGCCAATAGTGTTCCATCACTCTGTTGGAATATATAAAAATGGCAAAGGTGGATATGAGATAAAATCTGTTTCAACCAACCTTTTTCTTTCTTTTTAAAGGTTTGCTAATTGTGATTTATGATTCTGAGTCCACTCATTGAGACAGATTATGCTATGATTTGAACTACAGGTTATTACTTCAGACAGCACAGAGGAAATAAAATCCTCTAACACACAGTGAAATACTGGGCTATACCATCAGATATGAGCTGTTCAATAAAAAATATTAGAAAAATAAAACAAGATAGAACAAATTCTATGGGCTTCTTCCACTTAACAAACAGATACTACTTCTTAGACATAAAGGACCTACAAAACATCAACAGATGGTCTAAACCCAGCCTAAATCCCAGTTTACTGAAACTCAGGCATCTCTACTTGAAAGAAGGCCCTAAGCCACATACACTCAGGTAAACAACTGAAATCTTATCTACCACCAAGGAATTGCTTTCCACTTGTCTGAACACAGACTCCCACATGTGCTCATGGGCACAATATCTTGACGAAAAAATGGATTGATGGGTCCCAATTAGAAGGAAAAAAGCCCATGAATCTAATCAGCAGGTCACATGTATTCTGGAAGGAATCCTTCACAGAAGGATATGTCCTGTGCAGCCAGTGAAGCTGGTGTGATTGGGCCAGAATAATTAAAATAGAACTTAACTCTGCCATCTGGTGACACTATTGAAGCAATTTATTTAGTTTTTCAACATTTAAGAACCTGGATTAAGAGTGAGATTCATCCCATTTACCTCCTGACATGCAGAAGTTAGGAGTTGGTTCAGGAGTGCCATCTCTTCTCCCTCCGTTACTGACAGCATCATGTAACTACAACTCTGAAGCGTAACTCACAAACTCATTTGCTTTAGATTATGCCCAATCCAATATGAAGGCATGTGTCTCTGTTTCTGCTGACTTAAGGTGAGTCTACAGGATTAGCTTAGATGGTTAAACCTACAGGAGATGAATCCTACCCATGGTATCAAAGGTCATGACCTGAACATGACCTCCAGAAATAACCTTTCCTATAACCTTTATGTCACGTAAGTCACATAAACCAGAGAAGAACTAATTCAATACAACCAATGTGAAGATTTCACAGGGCAATATGATTAATATTGCGGTTCTAAATAAACAATAGAGGCAGATATAGCATTTCTATCTTCATGAATAGAAAATTAGAAAAAAGCATGAAGTAATCCTTTGAAACATATGCCCACTCCAATCCTCCAAAAACACTGACTCAGAGCACTTGTAAATTTAACTCATATATATAATAATGTAGGGGAGAAAAAATCATAACCTAAGCGAAGCTCACTGTGATGTACACTGCTCTGGACCAGAGATGAGAAGAAACATGATAAAGGGCAAAAACAGAAAAAGAAAAGCTCAGGAACTTAGATATACAGTTAATCCAAATATATTTTGCTGGTAATTCACATTTCTTTGGGAAACTCAAAGTAAGGAGGAAACACTTGAAGTATTTGAGTTAGGAACATTTCCCTACCTTAAGTACTAGTACAATGCAAGTGAAGTACCAATGAAGTCTGGAAGTTAAGGAACTACTACTACAGGAAATACCAGAGGATGCCCTATGTTTTGGACAATTTTTCTCCTAACTGTTCTTCACTCATTGCATGTTTTCCTCTTTCAATTTCTCTTTTCTTACTTGTAGATGCATTTTTTTCACAACTGTTTTTCTTCACTCTAATATCCAAGGAAACAAGTGATGAACATAAGCTTGAGTTTTATTTGCTTCCTTGACCTACCTCTATTTTCTGTACTATTCACCACCTTCTTCCATTGTGTAAATAGAAAATACACAGGGGAAAGGTGACTTGTGCAGTGGCCTTATCTTTCACTTTGTGAAGCACCTAGCTCACCTGAAGGACAATACTGCAGTAAAGATTAATCGAAACTTGATCTCCGGCCAGCAACTGAGATTGTACATAACTGCTGAAAATCCTTTCTGGTACTTAATTAATCTGTTTTCCTATGAAAACAAGACTAATGTGATCACTCCGTCTGTACTAATATCAGCCAAACAGGCAGAATGAAAATTAGCTTGAAGTAATTAAGATTTCTCCAGGGTCTTGTAAGTTTTTTTGGCAATAATTAGAGCTGTTCAAAGGCACTGCCCAGAGACTGGGGATTCTCAACAATACCTGTCCTCTGCTCACTTCAGTATTCTTTGTGCAGGAGCACATTATCTAAGACAGGAGGTTTTGCAGGATGAAAGTAAAAAAGGGATCAGGCAAGACAGTTTCATCCAGAAGGTAAGGACAGAATAACCACACATGCTCCTATCAAGACAAAGAAAATAATGTGAACATATTTTGCTGTGCACAGCATAAGTCAAATGAGAGGATCTGGAGAGTCCAACCTCAGAAAAAGCTTCACTGGTGCTTTTATGTCCTTACATGCCAAAACAAAGTAACTATGAGATGCAAATACATTATTAATGAGGCTTCAGTATTACACAGATTGTTTGTTTAATCTTTCTTCTTAAAGCTAGCTGAGTTTATTTTTACTCATGCTCCTAAAATAGAGATATAAATATATCATTGTTAAGCTCAAAGATGGCAACAGTCCTGGAAAATTACAGCATGTAGAAGAAAGTTCAGCCTATTATGAGTATTTGAAACAAGAGGTCAGTAGGTTAGGACAGAGCTTCTGGTCACCTCAGATATGAAAGATATGGAGCAGCAACTGTAATTGCCTTGGAATTAAATTTAGACAGTTATAAACCATGCACAGTCTTAGAAGTTAGCTTACATTCCAGTCCAATGAAGTCACATCCTTATTGCTGGGGACATCATGTCCTCCTTCTCTTATGCAGTGTCTCAAAACGAGTTGAGTGGAACCGCTGTTGCTGTTTTCGTTGAGATTCCATATCCTGGCCGTTGAGTCTCCGGATCTATAAAGCAATTATGCAAATAAGTTGAAAACTCCTCATGCTGGCCTAGCAAACAGTGTAAAAGCCTGTATGTCTGTTTTCATTGAGACAAAATTACAGCCTTGCAGGAGACTGGAGGAACAAGAGCCACTGGCCTGTACTGTAACAGAGCATCTGACTACACGGGGCTGCTGGGAAACTTCTGGCTCTGTGCAAAACACAGGTGTAAGGCTTTGGTGCTGGAATTAGCAGAAGCTCACCTAGGAGAGGCCCTATTCTATGTTCCAATTTTTGCAAGTAGAAGTTGTTTTGTATCTCCTGAGAATTTTGATGTTTCTCCTGTGCACTGCCCAGAGTAGATCCAACCACCTTTCCCTAAACCTGCTGAATGGATCAGGGCATTACAAGCCATTAAGAAGTAATTTTTTCTTTCCAACTCTTTCTGTACTCTGTGTACTTTTCTAAAAATGCTAACACATCTTTAAATTATACCTGTCATAATAATTTTGTTTATTCAGGGAAGTTTTGTCTAAAACTTTCACACAAACTCGCTGTCTACATCTTGCACTACATACCTAAAGCTGGTATCATCACCATAGCTGAGTTAGTCTGGGGCAACTTACAGTACCTGTCTGTAGCTTGGTGCTTACATCATGCTGTCTGAAAAAAGTGGCAAAATAAGTACTGCCATAATAGAACAAGCCAGAGAAAGCATCAGGATTTTGATTTATTTTATTGATCAATTATTTTCTACAGAGGTGATTTTAATGCAGGCTGAAACCCTGATTTTGCTTAGAAAAGGTTTGGAGGAGGAAGAGTGTATCATTATCTACTTGTAAATAATATATTTATTTTGACTTTGCATAAACCTTTATTCTACAGAAAAAATATCTCTGAGGTTCAGAGATCAATTTGCCATGGAGTGGAAGATATTACACTTTAAAAGTTTACTGGGATTTCTTTTCACACTCCCTCTCCTTAATTTTTTAAAACAACAACCAAAACCAAATTTCCTGGATTGCTTGTTCTGTCCAGAAAGCAATTTTCATTTACATGCAGTAAGTACAAACTTGGAGCAGAGTTAGCATCTCTCTCATACCTGCAAGAGTTCATACAGTGTGGATGAAATTTCATTGTTGATACATCTGATGTGTTAGCTTTTGCTTTTTAAAAAAAGTAATGACAAAGAACTTCTTTTCTGACACACTATCAAGGAGAAAAAGTCTTTCTTCAAAGATCCATTTTTTAAGAAATGGATCTTCCTGAGACCCATTTTTGCTTTGATAAGCCATGTTTTACTGAAAAAGAAATCCACCACAAGAGAATACTGAATTTTCTTTTGGTCCACTAGTAAAGCATTTAAATTACTGATAGTAAGAATACCAGACAAATTTTCAGCACTTGACATATCTTCAAATACAAATATTGACCAAGCGATTATCAAACTCCATTGATCTCTGTGTATTATTTTACTAATAATTTAGCCTAATTTTACACAAACATTTCATCTGTAAAAGCAAACACCTCTCTGCCTGTATCAGTAGCTCTGAGCTCTCCTAGCTTATGGCATGTCTGGGGAATGTGCCCCATCTCCTGTGAACCTTTTGTGCCAAGCTGAGGTGTCATGGCTGGCCAGGGTTTTGAACCCAGCTACTCCTGTAAAGCCACTCTTTAATTTTCAAGACATATCTTTCACATTAGTGATTAAGAAATAATTCAGATCAGGGTAATTTTTGCCACCACACAGCTGTGACTGTAAGATACACCCGTACTTCTTCAGAGGTCTGGAAAACTGACATTTTTGCATATGTTAGCTAGAAAATTAACCAAGTTAATAATGAGGCTGAGAAGTTAAGGAACATTTTTAACAGTGGTAATTAACAATGATGGGAACATAAGTCTTTAAAGGACTACTTTATTGATTAACATGCTAAGTAGGAAATTTCTTCAGAGCTGGCTTCTCTCCTATATAAGACTGCAGGACTGTCCTGCCTTCATTGTAATAATTCAGTTTGTTATTGGACCCTGTGAATAAAGTACTCAGTCACTTGGCCATCAAATACAATATCCTATTTGCTAGTTCTAAAAGGGTTACGTTTTGTTTTTCAACAGTTTTATTTAGTCAGTTTTCTGGCAAGGCCTAGGCAATCTCATTTTCCAGTATTTTAATTTTGTTTTTCCCTTTTCTTCTCCCAAAGCTACATAAGCTATTATGTGTCCCTGCAGAGAGGCTTTGTAAGCCTACCAGTGTGCATCAAGGGTATTTGTATGTCTTCCCTTTTGTTGCTGGGGGGAAAAAAAGAGTCCAGAGAATGCTCTGGAAAGCATTCCGATTTCCGTTGAATGATTCAGTGAACCCTGCCTTATTAGAGGAGCACAGTTCAAGCACAATTCAGAAAGATATTTAATCTCCTTTGCCCACAGAAGCATTTCAATCTCCATGATAAAGCAGCTCATTCCAACATGCAAGTCATGAACACTTGAGTAATAGGTATACTCCTCTGCACTGTGGAAAGAGTACTGCCAAATTTTAGGAAGGCTAATTCTGAAAGGATTTTTTTTCATGCTCTCCTGCCCCAGTATGTTCATGAATCAAGGTGGACAAATGTTTGTGGAATTTAATTTGTGACATATAAAATCACCATTCTGTAACTGGGAGCACAGAGGTTATAAGTGCTGCAGTTGGGTAAAGAATTTTGCAAGATGGTTGTTGAACCTTGGTATTTCTAATCTTCAGCTACAAGACTTAAAATCACTGTTATTTTGAGATGCAATATTGCTAATGTGTATTTACTGCTTCTGGCTCCAACAGGCTAGAGTTTTTGTTATTTTATTTTAAAAGATATTATCAAAAGAATTATGGGAAGGAAATGCCTCTTTTTTTTTTGACACCTAACGTTTCCTTAATGAAGCAGGTCTCTTACTAAGTGCTTACTCTTCCTAGGCAGTTAGTAGAAGGAAGTGCCTCACAGGTGTCCTGATTAAGATCTCTGCCCCACTGATTCTACATTATTCCCTGCTACAGGTTATTCAAGTCGACCTCCCCTAATAGCTGACCACTTTGCATTCATGGATTTGATGCACTGAGGAAACCAGTCCAAACGGTGCCCTGCTAACAAATAAGGACTTAGAGTTAGCAGAATTAATATCTGGCCCTGACATTGAGGGCTGGTGTCTGAAATTAACACCCTCAACCTGGTAAATCAAAAGGATTATTCTGAAAGGTAATTTATGGTGCATCCTAAACCACTGACATGAGGAGTACAGTAACCTGAAGTACTATATATATAAAACCCAGAAACAATGACAGCAGATGGCCTAGAAACATCTCTTGCTTCCAAGAAACACAGCCACACTGAAAGATCTCGGACAGCAGCTTTTATGGATAATTACTTTGCTGACTAGGGAGAGCAAAAGGTGCACAGAGTGGTTTGGAAGAGACAAGGCACAGCCTCTCTGTGTGAGAGAGGCTGGCACAGACTAGCTTGCAAGAAAAGAAACCTGCTGTTGGTTTTAGGACCGAGGCCAGGTCCCTCTGCTTCATGGCTGTGTGAATTACTTGAAGGGCATGGCTGGATGTCACACTCTTGGAAGCAGCAGTGGAACACAATGACAAAAAGACCCTAAGTTCAACTGGAAAAGGTTTTGCAGCCTTGACATTCACAGTCCATCCACTTCCACACTGGGAAATTCAAGCATGTTCAGAACACTGTATCACCAGACCACGATGACCTGTGCAAGCAAACTGACAGGATATTCCCTGGCCAGATTTTGGATTGTTTTAATTAGCACTCTTGCTTGGGTCTCTGATGTTCTCTCTGAATGACTCCTGGGCATGGCTTGGTAGCAACAATGTCCAGAGATGATTCCCAATGTGCAGTTTATTTGGCAGCCAGGGCAGTTTGCTAGCACAGACAGCAGCCGTTCTGTGCCAGCTGGCTTCAGTGCCCAGGAATATTCCCAGGCACAGCTAGTTTACTAATGTGGATGCAGCTGTAATGGATTTCTGCACTACACAGGGAACATAACCATCTGCAACAATTTAAATGTGTCATGAAATTAAAACTTAAGATATTGAAAGATAACTAGCAGAAGATACCAGTCTTTTAGTTTATTGCTGGGAATGGCCAAATCTTGAGATTTAACCAGGCACCTATTTTTTGTGGTATTTTTTCACTCGACTAAAACACTCTATGCAATTATTTGCTTTGGAATGTTGACTTCCTTCATAAAGTGTAGTTAATCATCTTCCATGGCTGTATGCACACACTTCACTCTATTATTATAATGCTTCTGTTCATAACATCTAAGCATTCTTTTCATAGGCATCTGGTGACAGTCATGCCTTTGATAAGCATTTACTGGTATTTCTAGTCTCCCCCATCCTCAGCTTTAAGGGTTATGTGCGTGGTGGAGGGGGAAGAGCAGCTGCAGAATATATTTTTCTAGCTATTTGATCAGAGAAATTCCTGTCTCTCTGTTATATTTTGAAATAGCTGTTTGCAAAGCCCAGAGAGTATATATTACTGTGCTAGTCTTCACACACTAGGAAAACAGCAATGGAGTAGATATGACATTAAATATAAAAATCCCTTTCTCTCAGTGGGATAGTCACTAAATCTGGAAGCCAATGCTCTAGTTTTGGATGATTCATTCTACACTTCTTTTAAACAGCTTGCTTCAGCTTAGGTTCTGAACCTGCATTATTCTTTTAGTTGATGACTACATCAGGCTGCTGTCTAAACTACTGCTGCTAGTTGTTAGAAAAATCTACTGCCTGTGTAACAAGGCTTCAGGAAAATACTTTGCCATTAACTGAGATTCAATTAGCCACTTTATAAACAAAACAAATATGTTATTATTTCCTCTATTTAATAGCTAGGATTTGAATTGTGTTTTTTAACATGGGTACAATCATGCAGATGGGAAACTCAAAGGCAAGTATTGACTGGGCAGCACAATATGGCTGTTACAGAATCTAACAATCTGACGCTCACACATCAGACTAACTGCAGTGTTCTTTTTTTAATCATTACTTTGTAAAGGGCAAACAGAACTGCAGTATACTGTGGATCTCAGGGATTTTCTCTCCCTTGTTTAACTGGTGCTGTAACATGGAGTTTACCTGTAGATAAAAGCTTGCACTGTTATTATACCAGACAAGGCTTCTTTGTGCAGTGGCATAATCACTCAGCTCTCTTCCTTCAGTTTCACTTTCTTCTGTGCATTCTGTGCTATTTCAGTCACTAAGCTTCACCAGGTACTGGCTGCTGCATTACCCCAATTCCAGCTGCATCCCTACCTCATTTCTTCTTTAGCAGGCTAAAATCTGACCAAGATGCACATGGATCTAAATTATTTGCATTGTCACTGCACTGCTATTAGTCTGACTAAAGCACACAATTGTACTTTGTAACCACGTATGTGTTTATGTGCCTCCACAGTCACTAGCAAAGCTCATTATGAAAGACCTATTACACTGAAGGGTAAAGCTTAATGGAATGGCTGGTGAGAGGGTATTCCTCTGCCTCAGGTATCTGACTAATAGCTCTGAATATCATCCTCCAGGTTACCTGAAGCTACAGGTTTACCTGTAAGATATCACAATCCAGGGATCTGTCCACCAACGCTTAGCACCCTGAGGCAAAGTAAACACTGCAACACATACTCTGGTTTATGAAATGCTGCACCGTTTAAATTATGCACACTAGGACTGTGCACCATGGATCCTAGGGAAGCAGTCCACTGTGGCAAGCACTGACTTGCTTAAAATTGGTAAATGAAGATACTACAGTACTACAGTACTACAGATGCTAAAAGTACTATCAGACTTAGATAGTCAGATAGTCAGAAAAAAAAGTGCATACTCAACAGGATTCTAGTTCCCAAAATCCCAGTTTGTTGTCTGAAATTACTTTTTTGAAATTTCTATCTTCACTCTCTTGGAGATCTCTGCTATTCATCCAACATGGAATTTATTGTGTTTTTCTTTTCTATTTATACTGTAATTCCGTGTTTCTACGGAAACTAATTTCATGTACTAAGCGAAGTAAGTAAGAAGACTATTCTGATAATCTTGCAAAAAAGCTAGAAACAAAATAAGGACTTTCCTCTTCCTTGTTAGAAAAGTATCCCAATACTGCTAACTCTGAGTGATTTTCCTCCTCAAACTACTATCAGCTTTACTCCATGTTCCCAGTTGGACTTCTTACATTTAGTCTTCATATAAAGGTTTAACTTTAAGCATGAATACAGATTCCACCAGTGCCTGCATACAGCTCCTGGGGTATGTTTACAATCGTGATTTTGTTTGAATCAAAAGTGCTTTCGTAAGTCGGTCTCCTGCTTGTCCCACTTAGGATGCTCTGGTGGTCATTGCAGAGCAGTCCTGCAGAGGATAAACCAGACTCTCTTCCAATGACAATAAAAGCACAACATTCCCTTAAACCACTGCTTACTGTTCAGCTCACTGAACAAACTTAGGTCTAGTCTGAAGCACCCCCATCTCCATACTTTTGAAAAAAGCCGGTGGATGCCAATGACTTTCTGAGACCCCAGTGTGAATCAATAACTAAGAGCACTAGATTACATAATCTCCAAATACTTTGAGAAACTATCTAGAATTATTTAAAAAATATTTCTAAAAATTTTTGTGTATTTAGGGCCACAGAATTTACATCTTAAATGTACAAATTCTTCATATTCGTCATCACCTCATAACAATTTAGCAGGTACGGTACTGCTGCAGGCTGATAAAACAGCCCAGAGAATACTCATTCACATCCCGAATACACTTACAAGTTCTTGCATCTCTAAATATTCTCTAATTGCAGCAGCTGGTTTGAGTTACTGTCTGTCTTACCCAGATGCTAGCAGGTCACTGACAGGGTTCCAGGCACAGATGAACACTTCTGATTCATGGCCCCGAAGGACTGTTGCTTTGTTAGGAGGAATTTCAACATCCCCGTCAATTTCCATTGGCTTTGAATGATTATCTGTAAGGAGATATATCAGAATAAACAGTTTACAAGATGCAGTTAGGTCTGTATTAAAATCATGCCAGCTTCCCAAGGCCTGAAGCTTACAGCAGCAAATACACCAAAATTAATACTCTGTGCTGTGTCACTTCTCTCTGGCCATTCAAATTTATGACATTTCTTCAAAATGTAGAGCTTTCCAAAACATTTTGTATAAATCTACATAGCTTTTCATCCCCCAAATACTCAGGATTTAGTTTAGTGTAGTTTTTCTTTTGAAGCTGGCCTCATTAAAAATGACTTACAGATTTATTAAAATAATAAAAAAATAGCATAACGCATTTGTATTTTCCTACACAGTCTCCTGTAAGTAATATCTGTGCTACTAACAGACAAAGAAATATACTGAGTGTATTTCATGCTCATTCCTTCATTCCTATATTTTATGCTTCATTCCTGGAGCACATCAGGGAAATGGTGAATGAGCACCTTCTCAAGGATATTGTAATACATACAAAGGTACCAAATGAGTCATAGATATACTTAACCTGCGTGCTGTAACTCTGTGGTTCTTTAGACTGTCATCTAAGTAACGTCATTTTTATAAGGTTCCCTTATTGTCTTAAGCAAAAAACCTGAATTTAAAATGATGGATTTCTCTTAGTAACAACTATTCATTCCAACTTGCATCATGAACCATGTTTTTTATTCCAGACTTCCTCTGCTTCTGTGTAAATCTTCCTCATTAAGCTCTAGTTACACTTCCTGGCAGCATTACAGTATTATTATTCTCTGCAAACAAGACACCATCCAAGGACAGGTGACACACTGGAACAGCAGACAGCAGATGCTACAACACACGCAAGTGTGGCCCATTTTGCAGAAAGCACAAGAGCAGGTAGCTGGCAGCCTCCTGTTACCTAACCAATGCTTTGGCCAGCTGATCAACTCTGACTGATCAAGTTCCCTTTCTGGGTTAAGTCCTTCAGTTAGTCATTCTTCAATCACATATGAAGATCCATAGGTTTGCCAGTAGAATAATTATGCTTCCTTATTGCTGCATGCTTATGGCATTTAAAATCAGCCATCTGTCCTGATACTTCAGCTCTGCTAAGCTATTGCCCATCAGCTGGTGAAACAGACTGTGACATTGCACAAGTGCCATCGGGAGGAAGATGTCCAGATTTCTATCCTTACCTGGGCTTTCACATACCTGGTTTGGCTCTGTCTAACTTATGCTGAGTCACACAAACAGCACTTCTCATTGTGTATTTGGTTAGCACCCTAAACATATGTCTGCGCCACATCTATGCCACAGATGGGATGGAATCTACATGAGTTACACAGAATCAAGTATTAAAATCAGGAAACAACTAACAGTAGTTGACAGCTTATTTCTAATGAAAAATATCTATATTTTGGCTACACTTATTACCTATGGACTTGCTGCATAAACACTGGAAATGCCTATTTGTAAAATTTATACCTATGCTGAGTCTCTATGTTAAGCATTGTCCTTTGACAATTCCCTGTGTATGACTACTAAACTGAATACTGTTGAGATATACCAATACTCAAAATTTAGCCTGATACCAGCAGCTGGGATCTTCGATATTCCAAGCAGTGAGGTACTGAAGAGTAAAGCACTATTAAAACCCACCAGAAGATACAAGCCTAGAACTCACAATCCTCTATTGCTCAGGACAGCACAGATTCACCATGCTTAATCATATTTTCGTGAGAAAAACAGCAGCATGATGATGGCTATGCATTCAGCTGTGCCCTCTTCACAGTGTGAGCTGGAAGCTGAGGGTAAATCAAGAAGATATTTCAAGCACTTTAATTTGAAAAATTTAAATGAGATGCTATGCTTATGACATTGGATCCTACTGTTACCTGCCTGGCTTTAAGGGCAGGGCTGCTTTTTGCTCTTAATTAAAACCAAATGACAGCTGGGGAGCAGCATTACTCCAAGGTCCCAGAGTCAACAGTAGCTATCACAGCAAAGCCATGTGATACTCAGGAATATTTTTTGTTTGTATGTGGCCAAATGGAAAAACCTAGACACACACTTTCAATGCTATTAACTGCTGTGAAAAAACCTCCACAAATAGTCATGCTGTGAAAAAGAAACCTTGATTAGCTGATACCTGGATTAGTACATTGAAGACCAACTGGCCTCTGGGAGCAAGGAAATACCTGCAGAATTATTTTGTATTGCATCTTCCTGTAATGATTTTTACAGAACAGTTTTGGTGGTTGAGGAGAAAAGAGAGAGAAGGATGAAAAGCCTTTCAAAAATAATTTGCAACTGTTCACATTTTATGTGTTTTCTTCCTATTTGCATCAGTAGTCAGGAACATTCATATTTAGAGTGTTACTGTTCAGCACTAAACTTAAAACGCCCCACTGAACAAACAGGACAGTTCATGCCCCTGTGATACTGCCTCAGGCTCCTATCAGATTCACATAGACACTTGCAGTGTATGACTGATACAATTATGGTAACAACAAAAAACTGCAGAAACGCCTGAGCCCAAAGGGGCACCCTCTCAAGAGTGACAAGCTCCTTAACCAGCACCAGCTCTTGGGAGCCCTGGTCTCAACCTGGAAATTTGGCTTTCCTATGGATGCAGCTACAGTAATGTGTGCATGGGGAATGAGAATGAATAGATAAGTGAGATGCAGCAACCATCAAGAACAGGCTTCTTTTGTTCTGAAGTGCCTTCCAAGCAGAAAGCTTTCTGTTAAGATCTTATTTGCACAAAATTGCCCTGGGGGGTTCTCTGAAAAAGAAGGCATTTCTACTAAGTGCAGCAGAGCCTCAGGTGAAAAACCCAAGTCTGCAGGTCACACAGGGAAGGACTCTGCCCAAATGTTAACACAAAGCATTTTCTAAAGGCCAGGGGATCTTTGGTTATAGTCTACATTATAATTATTTTCCTCAAATGTATAAAAAATCCCAAATGACTGGAAATTAGAAGTTATATTACCCCAAAGTATTAAGATTGAGGGTTTTTTTTTTAAGTGTAAAAACAAAAAATTCTAACACACTGGTAAGTAATAATATTTCTGCCAAAGGAAAAAAATAGATATTTTTAAGATCTTATGAGGGCTAACCCTGTCTTTTCTCAGGAAATATATTTTTTCTTTTTACTTAAATATTTAAGAGGCCTTTCACTAAAGCTGTTCTTTATGGCTGTAGTTTTAATAAAGGAACAGGGCTTTGTCCTCTTTCCAGAGCTTTATTTTTTGTAAACCTAAGCCAATCCTTGCAAATATAATGAAACAAATGACACTAAAAATATTTGTGTTGGATAACAATCCAAAGTTTGGCTCCATTTCTACATGCTGACTTTTATTTTTTCCTGTAACATTTAAAGTGACTTAAAACTGAGAACATTACTTGGGAAGCAACAAGACAAGACAGCGACTTTTTAAATATAGTATTTGAATCTGCACCTCAAACTATTGTTATTGTTTTCTGTCTCCTCTCTTTCTTAAATCTATCATATTGTAGTGGTAATGCCACATACAAAAACTTATCATATAATAGTAAATATTTTAAAACGTTTATGGAAAGACTTAAGAGTGTTAGGGAGAACTCTATGCCAGAATAAATGCAAACTAGGCAATTTCTCAAAGACATCTCTTCCTCCGGCTCCACCCATTCCACCTTTTTTGAAAGCCTGATATTTGGGTGACTTCCAGGTTAGGACTAAGGACTGGCACATTATTTAAACCTGTGCCAATATATGCCAGGTCTGCGGAATACAACAACAGTAAAAATTGAGATTTGGGAAGTTTCTCACAGCTTTCATATCAGCAGTCTTTTCTACTCAGTAGGTTTCCCATGATTATTTCTTTCTCCCAGGAAAAGCCCTTCTCAACATTCCAAAAAAAGGTCTGCAACTGTTTGTGAAAAACCCTCTATTAAAAATGGCTGTGAGAATAGCTTTTTTTTTTAATTAGAAAATGTCAGACGATTTGAGATCAAAAGTTACAGTGTGGCTATAAACATGAACTGCTCTTCAGGCTTTCCTTTTGTTAATACAATAATAGGTATATTTCTTTGGATCAGAAGGAAATACATCTGAGTGGTTCTCTTAGTGATAAACCGATGATCAGTTTTCTACCTTAAGAATTTGTTTTTTTTCTGGGCCTGAGACAGCGAGACATTCCCCTAAAATTTTCACATGTCAGCTGAAGATGTGTCAACAAACAAAATGTCAGCATTTGATACATTTAACAGTACTTTAATTTCTGTTTGCACCCCTTCACATATGAAATGAGTAAAGTGTCAAAGCAGAGGGTTAGTTGAAAGCAAAACATACACAATCCATAGTCTAAGAACAGATTAATATTTTTAAAATATTCAGATCTTTTTTACATTTGCTTTCTCAAATATAAATGTTATTTAAATAACTGCAGTTTTACTGGGGTAAACTAACCCGTCTAACTGGAATTCTCTGAAGGAAAACCTGTTCTGAAAGTGTTTTTCTCACTGACCCACAGAGGAATCTATTCAGATCAAAGAGAAGGTGGAGACTGATAAAGGTATCTACACTGCAGAACTAATAAAATCTGTTACATGATTACAGTTCTGACCTTGTCTAAGCCAAAGAGCTGTTAAGACTTCCCACAAAACCTGCCATGCATGTTCCTCTGGAGTTTTCTTGTAAGACAACTGGGCAGTATGGGCTGGTTTCAGAAGTCAGCCAGTACACAATGGGCCTTGCACACAGAAACCAGAACCAGTAATCCCATCTGCCCCACAGTGTGAGCACAGTCATCAGGATCTAGTTACACAAGCAGGTGGGTCCCACTCCATGTTGGAAATGTCTGACTTTGGATGATTAATATATAAGTGCAGTCTCCCTTAGTCACCCATGAACAAAGGGGAATTCAGCGCTCTTGAGAACTGGCTGTTACCAAAGATTAAGGAAATCTCAGGAAGGTGGGACCTTCAATTGGGTACTTGCAGTGGACTGTATGAATAAGCACATGCTATTAAATAAAAGGCCAAGGAATAATTTTGCTCTATACCTTCAAGACAGGTCAGCTGCATCCAAACTGTGTGCTGGGAATGGTCCTTGGCACGTGCTTGGCAATGCGGGCCAGGAGTGGATAGTTGGTATAGTCCAAACTGGGCTAATGACCATGACAGTAGGGCTATGGATGTTCCTGTGCTTGGCCACAACCTACAAAAATGGAAGCTGGAACATGCCAAACTGGGCCAAGGATCATGCCAAGGCTATGGATGATCACAGGACAGCTACTGCACAAGGCTATGTGCTGGTCACAAAACAATTACACAGATAGGGCTTGTAGGTCTGTTGGAGGTTAGGATTACTCCTTTGGTTTTCTTTCTCTCAGGGAATTTTCTCCCATATATTGTTAAGGCACAATAAAAACAGGTACTTAAGAGGTTGTCACAGTACAGGGGAAGGCTGTGGCTGGCTACTCTATTAGCTGAGTGGTTTCTCTTGGAGAGGAAGAGATACGGGAGATTTGGGCTGGGGGAAGGGGCTGAGTGCAGCTCCTCGCTCTCTCATCTGCCTGCACTGGAGGGGAAACAGGCTGCGATCGCTGTGGAGAGAATAAACCCCCACTGTGAGACTCCGTCTCCTGCTGTCTTCTCCTACCCTCGCTGCTTCCAAAGTTCCTGTTTGTTCCAAAGCTCTCCAAAAAGGCACAGGACCTACTGTTCCTGTGGGTTTGTAAAGCAAGCTCCCTTTGCCATCCCTTCCGCCGGCTGAGCTGCCATTACCGTGTGGAGAGGCGGCTGAGCTGGCGCCACAGCGCCCCCTGCGGCCGGGGGGAACCATCGCACCCGCCCTGCCCTGCCTGGCCAGGAGCCAGCAGTGCCCCTGCTGGCCATGCCCGGAACTGCAGCCAAGGGGAAGGTGCCTGACAGCAGAGAGCGCTGGCACTGCGTCTGTGCCTCTGTCTGTGGCTGCTCTGGTGTGGCTGGTTGTTTTGCCTTGTTATACATATACATACCACTAAAGAACTGTTACTCCTTTTCCCATGTCTTTGCCTGAAAGCCCCTTAATTTCAGTCATAATAATTCCAAGGCAAGGGGGTCATATTTCCCATTCCAAGGGAGGTTCCTGCCTCCCTGGGCAGACACCTGTCTTTTAAACCAAGACGACGTCCCAGCCTCTGAACCCATCTCTCTCCTGGCCTGGCCAAAATGACAAGCTTTGGGTACAGCCCAGTTTTTATCCAATATCTAAAAGCATCTAGAAGGCTGATAGTAAAGCCTGGGTAGCCTGCTCCAAGGAGAGAGCATACAGGTCCACTTCTTGATTCTGTCTTCAACTTGCAATTCAACTGAACATATCTGAAGTTTTCAGATTGTTAGAGACAGGTAGAACACAGCACTGTGAAGTGAAACATCATTTTTACTCAGCAACCTTTTTAGAAACGCCCCACTCTCCTGTAATGATTGCCCTTAGCTCTACCACCATGCAGAAAGCACACCTTGCACCCCATCCTGCAACTAAGTACAAGAATATTACTGAAACACAAACCGCCCAGCAGCGGCAGGCAGCTGCCTGTTGGCTTACTTATTGCATGTGCCCCATTCTCCTCTCCATTCACAGTGGCTTCTCCGTTCTTTGGTGTGTTCTGCTGGGAAACAGCAGTCGTCGTGGCTCCTGCCGTGGCCGCCGTGGCTGCCGCCGCTGCCGCAGCGCTGGCTTGCTGCTGCGCTAGCTTCTCTCTGAAGGCTTGCTGCCGGGTCTGAACGACATCAGGCATCACCGCGTCTATCAGAGACAGGGACTCTATTGGCCTGCCGTCAAATACTGTACCATCCTGCAGGGAAAATGAGCAGAAGGGAAATCCCAGGTTTAGGATCTTCGCCACTCAGGCGGTAAAGAATCACAAAACGAGGCTGTGTGAAGATACTACACTTTGACTTAACCAGCAGTGCCACAGGACTATGGACTGCCTCTCTCTCAGATCCGTGATGGTGGCACTCATGGTCCACTCAGAAATCTGACCAGTCAAAAAGTAATTTGTTGGAATTTTATAGAGAGTTTTACTATATAAATGGTTTATAGATCCTAAAGGAGTCAAGCTGTTTTAAAAAAAATGTCTGACTGATGACAGAAAGTTTCACTTTGTTTTCTGTTTGAAAAAAGAGTCATGGCTAAAGCCATGATAAAGGCAAACAGACTTTGGTGAAACTGTTTGTTTTCCTACACTTGCAGGAGCATAGGAATGGAATGGAAGTGGATGATGCATAATGAACCTCAGCCAAAACATGATGTATGCACAAATTCACTGGTTTCTTACGAAGTGTTTTGCAGCCCAGCACCACCAGTTGCAGCTGATCAAACAAGACTGCATTACCATTATTTTTCTTTTATTCCACTATATTATTCATAATAATTACAATTTTCATTTTGATTTCTCTAAATTAGGTTCAGCTTCAACAACCAATTGAGTAAACTTTTAGAGGCTGTTGAAGACTTAATACAGACTATATCGACTTACCTTTTCTTCACTTTCACTTCTCTATTATCTAAAATGTAGGGGAAAGATTTTAGTAGCCTTTGTAAAGTGCAATTTTGCCAATCTTCTGCAAACTCCCTTCAATTGTCTGAAATAATAATAATCTGGTGGTGAAAGATTTGCTCTTGAGAAAGAACAAGTAAGAAGAGGATACAGATAGAAAATGTAGCTGTTAGACAATATAATCTTCCATAGGTGAGAACAGCTAATATAGAAAAATAGCTGCTTGCCTGACTGGTATGTTTCTGCTGACCTAGTTGTTGCATTACCCCTTATAATTACAATATTAGGATAATACATGTTTGTTTCCTCATGGGGAAGAAAAAGGAGGAGACAGTCATTAGAGAAAAAAACATAATTTCTTTCTCCTCAGCATATTTTAAGTGTCTGCCAAAATTTATTTAAATCTTGACTCAAATTCTTGCTACACAATAAACAAAATGTTTGCCAACAGATCCTGACATCTTACATTTTCATCTGTAAGTGTGCTCACGGACTATTTACATGACTGCCCTTTAATAGATCACAAACAATAATTTTATACACACTAGTTTATAGACTCACTGATTACTTGTCAGTCTTAAGTAATACACATAGAAAAGTAACACATAGGGAAGCATCTATGGTAGCCCTTCCTGGGATTCAGATGTAGCATGAATGGTCTTTGCTTTGCTGCAACATACTTAACAGTAGGTATTTGAACAGAATCATGGAATGGCTTGGGTTGGAAAGGACCTTAAAGGCCGTACAGTTCCAATCTCCCTGTCATGGGCAAGGACACCTTCCACTAGACCAGGTTGCTCAGGGCCCTGTTCAACCTGACTCAAACCATGATGAGAGAGCAACACAAATCTTAATGGTGAAAACAGGCATATTTTCAGATTATTCTCTCATTTTAGGGAAAGTCTTGAAGCTGGGTAAGTGCAGGTCCCTACAACCTGACCTACATGCTTCAGAGCTGGAACTTTCGAACTGTGTAGCTCCAGTTTCAGGTGTGGGGCAAAATGTTAAGTAGCAGCAAATTGAGACAGCTTCCTAACACTGGTTTGTTATTACAACTGCATCAAAGTGCAGCTTGGCGTGAATGTCAAATGTTATTGCCCCAATTACAAAATAACACATATACAAATCTTATACATGGTATTGAGTCACAAAAAGAAAAAACACACAGAATGTTTGAATAAAAACAAAAGAGTTTCCAAACCACACACTGCAAACAACACAGCCTTTTCTCTATTTTATATTCCTTTGTTCTCACCCATGCTGTTCACATGCTACATTCAGGTATAGAGGAAAAAGCAGTAGCTTCTCTGTATTAATATTTATTACAGATATTTGTCAATCAGAAATATCTATTATAAAAATCTTGTAATGCAGCACTTGCTTATCTGTCACACTTCATTCCCTCTCAAAGCACCATGTCTTTAAGGTTGGCAGGGCAAAACCACTGGCTTTTCCCACATCCCTTCTTTGTTTCCACTGTCAGCTCAAGGAGAACAGAGACAGTCTGTGGCTGTTCATACAATATCTACCTGCACCCCAGCACACTGAGAATTTACATGCAACTGTTTCACAATGTACGTGATGCCTCATCTCATATGATCTAGGCCAAAGTCACCAAAATCACTCTCCAGTGACCTCTGTGGATTTCTGATCAGGCTTCTCATGGCTTGTGAACAGTGCTGCCTGCTAGGAGGTGTCAGGGAGTGAAGTTTTAACCTATGCTGCAGCTTTTCCCTGCCAAATTCTGCTATGACCTTGAAAACTCAAGGCTGTAAGCGCAGGTACTTTTTCTTGTTTGCTGCAGGAACCTGTACACCCTGAATTTGTTGGCTAGGGTAGCAGAACCACCATGAAACACCAGGTAAGTAGTGCAGAGAACACCTCCCTGCCACAGCTAAAAAACCAGAAACACGTCTCCATCTCAGAGCTTCCTGGCTCTCTGCTGGGATGGGGCAAAGCACGAGGAATAAAATTAAACCAGACGAGGAGCAGCTGGGCAGCGGCTCACGCGGGGGCTGCTGGGGTGTGCTGCTCGGCACGTCCCAGCGGTGGCAGCGGTGGCAGCTGGCAGCGGTGGCACTTACTTCGTTGATGCTGATCTCGGCCTCCACATACTGGAGCCCCTTCTGGAGGATGGAGATGAGTGCGGCAGGTGGCACTAGTGTTCCGTTGATGTTGGACTGGCTGATGTGGCTCTCGATACCGAAGGTAAAGGCCGAGTGGGAGAAACCTGAGAGCAGGAAAAGGAAGCCATGATATGAAATCTAAATGCACCGGTCAGATACACCTTCACGGTCTAAAAATAATTCTGTCTTGAGATCTAAGAGACGCTGCCGTGTAAGCAGAAGGGTGTGGGCTGGCTGCTTGGAGCTGGGCAGGTCAACCTGAGCCACCCTGACTGCCCATCCCCCCCTCCCCCCACACACAGGGGAAGCCATATAGAAATGGAAATGCATGCAGAGACAAATAACTGCACTAACCAAAACAAAACCCCCCAAAACACGTAAACACCAGCAATCGCCACAAGGGCAGGTCCAGCTAAAAAAGTGCCTCAAATCTCCATTTCCCTTGCTGAATTTCAGTGCTGGGTGTTTGCTGAAGCTGTGCACTTAGATCCCTACCAGCACGCAAGCTGTATAAAATCAAGGCATAGATGCAGCTGACACAGAGGAGCCATTCCCTTATACCAGAGAAAAGATTTCAAATCCACTGCTCATTTATTGCGTAGTAAAATATGATGGGCAGAGCACTGCTGTTAAAATGTGAAACTACAGAAAGGCCACCCTGTAAACCTATTTTCTGTATGTGAACAGCAATAGCAAAAGTAATTAACTGGGATCTGCCACACAGCAGATGACAAGCTAGTGAGGTGGCCTGTACTTCAGCCAGAAGTCTTTCTCTTCCCTGTTTCATTTTTGTCATTGTCTGAGTAAGTAAGTGGCATTGAAGGCGACAGCACTGAAAATTAAACAATTTTGGCAGAAAAATTTTAAAGAGGGCTGCCTTAAATTCTGGCTGAAGCTGCTCAGAACTGTTGCTGGGTATGGAGGCGAGCGCTGCAGAGAGACTGTACAGAGGGGCAGCTGTGGGAGGGGGGAAGGGGAACAGGATGTAGATATAACTGTAGGAACCCATTTATCATCACACTGTCTCCAGAGCATTAATCTAACATTAAAAGCCTTGGGGAAACCACCCATGCACTGTCTCAAACAGGAAGAGCTCTCATCGTCTCCACCAACTAGACAAGAAAAAACAACAAACAACAAACCCCCCCAAAAAAGAAAAAGAAAGCCGCTTTCAAATGAAAATACTTCCGTTAAATATAGCTGTGCCTCTTCCCCTTGTCAACACTAGTTTCATTTATAGTTTTGTCCGTTAAGGGATTTCCCCTATATCACTGCAATGTCCAATTGTGTGCAGGCTGGGGATGTGATTTTGGGCTTGCTCGACAGTAGAGATTTCTTTCTCTCTTTTCAAGATGCTTTTTCCAGCTAGCTCAATTATTAACACAGATAGCTAGCAAAAACAAGCTGAGAAACAGAATCCTCCCACGTTTGAAACCAAGGTATGCATTTCCCTGATTCTCCCCTCCCTTCCCCCTACACATTTTATTTTGCTGCTGCTTTTCTCTTTTTCCTGCTAACAGCTTCCACTCTCTCTCCTCCCACCATAATTTCACTTCCTGAAGCTCTCCCAGCTTTGGGGGATGCTTGGGATGCTTTGGACACTTTTTAGGAAACGGCAGGTCCACCTATGAACAGAATTCCATAGGATCACAAGGCACTAAAAAAGGACAGATAAAAAACCCCCACTGAAAAACTGCAGTATCATTTATGTAATCCCTAGGCCAATTTCTTATTCTGTATTGCTCTTTATGTCCTGGTCTACTTTATGAGCTGCTGGACCTCCTGCTGCGAAATGGACTGTAAGATCTGCAGGGCAGTGTTTTTCCCTGGTTATTAGTTTTGTTGGACATCTAAGCACATTACTGGGAACCACAATGAGGAAGAAATCAAGCACTGAGCATACATAGCCTGCACCCGAGTGGTCTAGGGCCTAATCACTGAACACTGAAACCTCTATGTGTATCTATAAATACACGGCATAAAACTAACCAGAATTAGAGAAACAGATACCTCTTAATTTATATTTATGTGTATTTGAGTTAATCAACAATGGTAACACAACTTTCTTAAAATGGAATGAACTTAAAAATACATGACAGATAAATCGGTAAATCTACGTAAGAATGAGAAAATTGAGCTGTTGTCCAAGAGCACTAAAGGTGACTGCTAAAACACCCAGCAGCTAGTTTCCAAGTCAACAGCTCAGAAAATTGTAACGTGGTCTCTGATTGAAACAACAGGTGGGTGGCATAAAAATGGCAACCAACAAACATGGAGGGAAAAAGTAAAAAAGTGGAAAACCATGACTGTGGATCTATGGCAGACATAAATCTTAAGTATAACATTTACATATCATTATTGAATTTTGTATCTTACAGACTTTTTAGCTGGCTGCTGGCATATCTCAAGCCCTATCCTTGCCAGGAGACAGATGATTGTGCACACAGCTAAGCATCTTTGTTCAGTCCTGTTCCCCAGAGAGCAACACAACTCACTCACAGCATGTGAGAGAAAACTTTTCAGTACAAAAGTCAGTTGTTTATGCAATGAAACTTTTTATCTTACTGTTTCTCTGGATGCTGAGAAACTATCACCAAAGCACCTGTTAGATGAAGAAACACAAAACTCCTGGTACACTGTCACTGAGGAGCAATCTCACTCATACACTTCCAGCAGCTGTGAGAAACTTTCCTCAGATTTTATCAGACAAGATCCGATTAACAAAAATCAATGGCACAAAACTGTTTAAGTGAGTGCTGCTAGACCTAGTGCTCCTCACGCCTCTTGAAAAAATGCACCCAATACAACTGCAGTTAAAAAAAAACAACAGAAATATGCCAACCAGTCCTCCAACAGATAGCTAATTCCTTCCTGATTTCTTGTATTACCACAGCAGTTATATAAGGCTCATTTGAAAATAAATGGTTTTAAAACCACCTCACACAGTCAACAAAATCCTCAGTGAAGCTGTACCTATATGAGGTTTCTGATAACACTGAAGAATCACCTGAGCTTTACTTTTATAGTTACCAGATGTCATCAGTTCTCTTCAGGGCTCTGCATTGAACTACACTAAATTACACAGCAAAGCTGCAGCTCTATAGTTTAGTTTTACGAAAAGGTGATTTCTGTTAAACAAAGGCAATTTTTAAAAAATGTTAGCATGTTAACCTGGCCCTCCTTCTAAGATAATGAAATACACTGGGGACACAAAGCCAAGACACAAGCACCACCCCCACTTCCAGTCTGTCAAGGCAGTTGGGGAGCGTGAGCAGAGACAGAAGGTGCTCTGCAAGTGGTGATCTGAAGGAAGGATGTGGTGGGGGTGACATGAAATTACAGTAGACAAACTGAAAATGCCATGGCAGCAGTGAAATGAATGAAAGTTGCAAATCCATGTCTGTATGCATTACTTCTCATAAATTCTGTCACTGGTAACTGCAATAATCACTCTACAAAACAATAATTTCTGTTCAAATAGCACCAGTAAACAAATTCTTAGTGCGATATACCCTTTGAAGACACATGCAGTGAGACTATGAGCTTTTAAGGTTAAAAGCACGAACACAAAGGGCTGAAGAGGAGAAAGCACTGCCACAAACTGAACAGGTTTCATAGCAGTGAACCAGTTGCTATTGCTGTGACATGACCAGTGCTCTAAATGGCATAATGCAGCAGACTTGAGAGAATGGCTTCCAGGTTTTTTCTGCCTCAAAAAAGATGGGAAAAAAGAAACCATCAAGCTCTGCATAATCTGTAAATACATTATCATAAATGAAAAATATACTCAAAGGAACAGTGCAGAAAAAAATATTGTGCAGAAAAAATTCATATTGGGACGATCTAGGTATGAATGGAGTGACTTATCAACTGTGGAATAGTTGGACTTGAAGTATTTCACAGAGCAATAAAAGCAGAGAAGAAATAATGAATGCAGAAAACAATTACTTAAATAACCCCCCAATCTCAAAAATTATTACACAAGTCAGAAACAGACTTGAAAACTGACTGAAATTCCTAATTGAGAGATTCCCACACTTTTTTTGTACTGACAGTGGTAACAGGTCCTGGTTCTGTGCTATATCTTTTCCCACACTGAGGTGTCTGTATATACTCTCAGTGGTACATACACAGCCGTTTGGGAATTCTTGCCCTAGGCAGTGCCAAAAAATGCATATGTAGGACTGTGTTTTGCAAAATTTCACTGATAGGTTTTGCTATAACTGCAAAAACGGAGATGATGGAGGGTTTTTCCTATGGCTGTTCCTTTTTCAGTTAAAAATGGCTTCCCTTTGAAGCTAGATTTGTCATTGATCATAAAATGACAAGGTTTTATTTAATGAACATAATGATGCTTGTTGCATGCTTGTTTGATCTGAAGGCTACATAGTTTTAGTTGTTTAGAATATGCCTGGCTCACATCAGAAATGCCTGTCAAACGTAGGTGTAGAAAAGGCAACTGGGGAGCCACACAGCCCAGGGAATGACTTTTCTTCTCCAGTGATGTGTCTCGTCTCTTCTGGGAGGAAAGCATTCCTCCTTTTAGACTCACACCTGGGGTGATGCTGAGTATTCCCCATGCTGGCTCATTTGGCACTCACAGCTCCACCTAAAATTGACATCTACCAAGCGTTCCTTTCATTTCCCAATCTCTTTAGTACCACAAAAAGCATGTCTTTGTAAAACTGCAGCCTTGAATTTTAGCAGCTACAGTACCGACTGCTGTATTTGTACAGGTGAGGGGAGTGACAAAGAGGGGTCTGTGGAAGCAAAGACCTTTGAACTGTTTCAGTCCTTACTGGTTACTTGGGAGTTACTTTGGGGATGCCCTGATGAGCAATAGAGAAGTGATCTGTTGAACAAAGTTTTCTGTTTGTGAGCTAAGTGGATTTAGCTTTTTCTGGTTAACCTAAATAGTTTGCTGTAAAAATAATTTTTAAACCCCAGGTGTTTTTCAGTTATTTGCTAATAACTCGGTTCAATTACTCACACTGCAAGATCCTTCACTGAAACATTTGCTACTGTACAATGAAACAGAGAATAAAGAATTATGAAAATCAAATTGCTTTTTTCAAATTGCTTTGGGCATCTTGATGATGAACAG